GCGCAAGATGATTTTGTGATTGGTGTGGTAGGATCACACCCGGCTCCACTTCCACGCGCCGGTAACCCATCTGCCGCGGATGCTCTTGTAGTCACTTCGTCAGGTGGTTGTACTGGGTCTGTACCCAACATTCCAGTTGCCGGCGGGATCCAAGAATCCAGCCAAGCTTCGCTGTTCTGTATGAACCAGGACCATATCCCCGGCTCTGTGCCACGAGATTTGCAAGATTCAAGCGACGGTATGATCGTGCAGCTGCGCGCACCTCTATGAACAGTCCGCATGTTATGCAGCTTCTGGGGAGGATGTGAAGAACGCCAACGACACGCGCCAAAACGGGGGATCTGCCAGCAGCACTGCTTCCCAGCCGTCCGCCGTTGAAGGTACACGTCCGACCTCAAACAACCGCGGGCACAGCGTCGCTTCGCGCCTTGCTTCGGCGCTCCTCCGAGATCCGTCGCGACAACGTTGATACATCTAATCCACCGCGTGTCGAGATGCCACGGCCCATAGAAGTGGACATCAAAGATATCGATGGTTTGTATGAAGCTGGTGGTGACTGGAGTCAACTCGCCACCTCGATTGAGCGAGCTCGCCCACACGTGCTGCCTCGTGCGCGTTATGTGATGATCATTGAGACTGACCACGCTTTCAAACGCACCGCGCCAAGCAAACTTCTCGCCTCGCTATTTGAGGACTATGGCAACCCCGTCGTCCAGCAGCAGATTGACCAACAGCAACTGGGTTATCTGACAAAAGCGCCTGGAGGTAACATCCGCATTAAGGTGAAGGCAAAAGAAGCTTGCCAGTACCTTGCCGGTCAAGAAGTCAAGATTCTCGGGGGTAGATACCGATTCGGCGAGTTTGACATTCTTGCCGACCACTTCCTCATTGATGTGTCAAGTGTCGACAGTGATTTCAGCGCAAACCTCATGCTGAAGCGCTTCTTCGGGCTCGGAGCTCAACCGATATACGATACAATCCGAGATGTAAATCTAGAAGCAGTGATCACCATAGATACGTGGCGGGTGTACTTC